ATCCATTGTTGCACATTTTTCTCTCTACCCCCTGCCCTAAGATCACTTTACTCTTTAAAAAAATTCATTCATTGTTGCACAATTTTCTCCCCACCCCACTTTGCTATGCACCTCTTATTCAGAACTGTTGTCATGCAAATAATGCCTAATCATATATTCCTTTTAAGTAGTTCTTTCCCTCATCTTTTCCAAAGCAGTGTTCATTATGTATACCTTCTTTTCTTAGTTTCCCCTCCAGCCCCCATGTCAGTCCAGTTTTATAACAGTGGAATAATGCAGTATTTGTCTTTTTATGACTGAGATATTTCACTCAGGATAATGTCCTCCAGGGTCATAATGATACTTTTTTTGTAGCAGCTCCTCCATAGTGGGGCTTCTGGGTCTCTTCAGCTCCCCTTCCTACTAAATGTCCAAATTACTACCTTGACTCCTATAAGAAAGACCCTAGTTAGAGTAGAGGTGTGTGTGTGTGGGGGGGGAGGGTCAGGCTATCTTGATGACCAACGTACACTTACCTCCTCTCCTGCCACCTCCCTGGAGTCACACACTTGTCTGGTGGTCTCTCCTTTCCAAGCAAAGGCTCAGGAAAGCTGACAGTAAAGAGAACCTCTGAGGCAGGGTAGAGGCGTTAAGAGTTCCTTTCAGAGACTCCTCTGGGAGGGAGTCTTGTGCTAGAGACGCTCCAGGGCAAAGCATGGACTGAGCTGAGGAACTGGGTTTTCCCAGATCTCCTCTAGGCCCCAGCAGCAAATTACACAGAACTAGGGCTGTGAGGAGGCTGTGCTGGAGCTAAACCCAAGCAAATAAACAAAAAGTTGGCTGAGAGTCAAAAAGGGAGGGTGGAAGGAAGTACATGATAAATTTTAGCATTGCAATTTCCTAAGCACAGAGTTGGGAGAAAAGGGCCTCTCTAGGGTTTTCCAGGTGTTAGTAGACGAACCTACGAGTTTGAGAAGAGTATTGAATATGGACTACCAAAAGAACAAACAGAGGTGTCTTGAAGAAGATGAAGCCAGAATGCTCCTTGGAGACAAAGAACACAAAGCTTTGCCTGTCATATTTTGGGCATGTTACTGTTTTGTCGTTAAGTGCTGCTGAGTCAAGTAAATCCATAGTGACCCTATGGACAACAGATCTAAACAGTGTCCTATCATGTGGAAAATCTCTGATATATTCAAGCCTGTTGCTTCAGACACTGTGTCAGTCCACCTGGTTATTACTAGACGAGGCTATTCCTTGGAAAGGGACATCATGCTTGGAAAGGTGGAGGGTCAGTTGAAGAGGGAAAGACTCTCTCACAGAGAAGGATTGATACAATGACTACAGCAATGTGTTCCAGTGTGTTCTCCAGAGATGATGAAAAGTGTACAAAATTGGACAGAGTTCAGATCTGTTGTTCATAGTATCACTGTGAATCATACTTGACTCGATGGTATCAAACAACAAAGCAACAATGGATGAATCTACTCAGGTGATTTGAGAAGGGTGGTAGGGCAGGTGACTCTGGGCACACAGATCAAGGGAACTCTGGGATATATAATGTAGTTTCCACTATCCCTCAGGAATTCATATTTTCAGAACATGTGTACATGTCTGTGTTGGTGAGTGTGCAAGTTGTATAACTGATAGGGAGCATGTCTTGTCTGAATGAGTGTAGGTTTGTGTTTCCACAAAAGAGTGTATGTGAGTTGTCTGTGTATGAGTGGGTGTCACTTGAGTGGGTGATTGTGTGTGTGTGTTTCTTCCAAAAGTTCCCTCTGCTTTTTCCTTCTGGTTGTCTCTTTAAGACAGAAAACCCTCACAAGGCCCCTCTTACTCAAGTTTCTTGCTAGAAAATTGTTTTGCTGAAGTGCAGCCCTACATATCTCCCTCCTTTTTCTGACTTTCAGCCAACTTCCTATTTTCCCCATCTGGGTTATGCTCTGCTACAGCCTCCTCCCAGCTTGCGCTCTGTGGCTCTGTCACAGGAGACCAGAGGAGGGCTGGTAAGACAAGATCCCTACACCCCAGTGAGCCCCCTTTTCTGGGAGAGTCTCCTGCACAGGGCCCCCTTCCAGGGAGGGATCAGTCCCTAGTTCACCTCCTAGATTTCCCACAGGGCTTATTTGGAGGGAGGGACTCACTAGATAGAGTTTATGATTCCAGGGGGGAAAAAACCAAAAAACAAAACCCCAACAAAAAAACAAGGCAGAGAGAGAGGCAGGCCCTGTGAACTCAAACTTCCCTTCCCTCCATTTTTCTGTTGCCTCCTCCTAATTCTGGTTGGTGAAGAGGCTTTTAGGCAGTTGGTGTTGAGTGGAATTCTACTGTGGGGCAGAGCTAGGAGGAGGACAGGGAATAGCGTTAAGTTCATCCTCTTTCCCAGCTCCAGGGAGAAGTATTGAGAGCAGCAGAGTCAGAGCTCAGATCTTTTGCAGCTAGATGAAGCATAGGGGAGTCAGATCTGGAAGTTGGGTGTGGTTGGGGGCAAATGATGGTATCCAGCGGCTTTGAGGTTTTAGAACCCAGTTCCCTCCCTTTGAGCTGGCCTCTGATCACTGATGGGAGAGCTGGCTTGAATCTGGGGCTGGACTTTGTTTTTCATGTTTGTGAACAAGTTTCATTCTCTTGTGTTCATTTGCAGAAATGTAAAACACCTACTCTTCCTATTGCAAAGGAGATTGGGAGGCAAAAGAGTGAGACTATCTTCAAAAGTGAGTAAAGAACAAGGTGTTTAGGGTTAGTGCTATTGGTGAGGCATCCCTGGTGGTTCAGTGATTGCTTGGCTGCTGTTGAACTCACTAGCTACTCTGCAGGAGAAAACCATGACAGTTTGGTTTCATAAAAGAGTGTATGTAACCTTGGCAACCTTATAGGGTATTTTTACTCAGCCCTACAGGGTAGCTATTAGAATCAACTAACTAGCAACAGGTTTGGTTTTCGGTTTATTATTGCTGGTGATTTTAGGATTACTCTTTATGATATTCATTAGCATTTTCTACAAAGGGTTTCTTTTGGATCTAAGCAAACTAATTTTGAAGTGAGTAAGAAGTAAACTAGCAAAAATATCTATGACAATTTTCATTGGAAGATATGCATAAGTCTGACATATTTTTGGGGATAGAAAATAAATTTATTCTTATAAATGGATGATTTTTACTAAACCTCCATGTGGTTATGAATGCAGGCTATATATAGTAAGGTTTTCTAAATTAAGAGGACATGTGGAACTTTGCTACATCATTTTTTAAAACAGCAACTGCCTTGCATGTATGTATCTTTAAAAATGTCAAGAAATTAATGTGAACTGATGGCAATTTGTAATTTGAGTAAACATAATCTTGAGAAAGAAGCAAATGTTATTAGATTGTTGTGACATGCTGTACTTTTCAC